TTCATGCTTAATGTGTAATTGTTCACATAACTTCATTTTTTTTCAATATGCATGAAGTTTATTTACTTCATAGTTTTAAGTCAACTTGTCACTTGTTACAGTGAACCTATTTGACCAAAATATTATTTTCTAAAACACTTTTTACAATATTTTGCAGTAGAATTGCATATAGTGTCTTTCAAAAACATTTTTTTTTACCATCAACTAACTGTTTACTAATTAACTGTAACATTTTTATATTATTTTTCTCTGTTGTATTTTTTTACAGTGGAGCAACCGACAGTAACTACACCGATTTAGCTAAAAATCTGTAATTTAAAGTATTATTGGATTAACATGTTTACTCAGATGCATAATTGTTTATGCTATGATCCTGATCTAGTGATGTTGCCTTTCAGATCTGATTGAAAGTGACAGTTTTATCTATAATTACTGTTGTGCATTGTAGGCCATGTGTTTGGAGTAGTTCTTAAAACCCGCGACTGCCTTTCTTTCTGCCACTGTGGTTCTGATCCCGAGCCCTGCAGAAATATTAGGTTTGGCGTTAACGGTCGTCTCTCTCCGCCACTGGTGATTGCCCCAGACTGATTGATTTCTGCTGAGGAAACACGAGCCTAATAATTACTTTCACATATGAGCACGACACATGGCTTTAGAAATGTTTGCTTGATTGGTTCGTATCGAGCAACACTGAAGTTAGATCCGCTTATTAGCGGAAGTGAAAATTCAACTTCAAATGAAAAACGGGTTGGTTTGATAAGGCCCTGCATTTGGAGAATGCAAACAGACATGTAGATTAGGAGCATGTGACACTGTTTTAAAGCTGATAAACGTTCTCTGTCTAAGTTTTGTGACCCACTTCATTTGATCAGGGCTTTGTGTGTGGCATTGTCTTCGTGCAATGTGTGCTGTCAGATTACAGACTCGGAGCTGACGGGCGCGTGCCTGACTTCCCACTGGCTCCGGTGCACTTAACTTCTGCTAATCAATCAGTCCCAGGAGGAAGTCCACATGTTCCCATCTTCAGTTTAACGTGACCAATGAATGAATCTCTGTAACCAACGGTAACCCCCAGTTATACATATATGGTGTTTCCTGACTATCAGACTGTAGAGGAAGTGGAGAAACCACTGAGTGCTCTTATCATCAAGGTATGGTTTGCACTCACAGCCATTACAGAAAGTAGTAGTCATAAAATATTGTCTAAATGCACAACACAGACAATAATTAACTTAGCAAATTATAGACAATAAACATCATAGAATGGGGCATTTCTTTGAAGTGCTAATTGACAAGTTGACGATACACCTTTTGTTATCGATATGAACTCTGTTTTTGGAGAATGAAGAGAGTATTTTTATTTTGAACTGGTGCCCTTCAGTCGCCAAAATCCATGTTTGTGTTGCTATTTTTGCTGGTTCTTCTGTATTTGCAGACCATTAATCTCCAATGTCGTAAAAGGAAACATGCTGTGGTGGCAACAGGAAATGTGGGTTGTAAAGCTGTGTATGACATGCTGATGAGTTTATTTACCATAGGATAGGCCCACAATTTGACAACAAGGTCCCATTGCGTCAAGGAGAACGGTGGGTGGATGCAGCAGTAGGATTCCACGATTAATGATATGTGACCCCAGAAATAAACAAGCAGGTGAACATATGATACACAATATTGATCGATTGATTTTGTCATTACCTGTATTTTCTAAAATAAGTGTGTCTGAACTTCTATTGGCTTGTCCCATATGTCCTGTGACTATGCTAGCTGTGCTTCAGGACACTTAAAACATTAGGTTACACTTTATTTTAAGGTGTCTTTGTTAACCTGTAATTATACATTTAAGTACTGCAGCAATATTAACATACTTACTATAGGGGTTTGGTTAGTTGAATGTAATTACATACATAACAATGGGACTGTAAAATAAAGTGTTACCAAACATTATATGAATATACATTAAAATGAAATGAATTATTGATTTGTACCAATGTATAAATGTACAATTGTGCTTTAGGCTATTGTTAAACAGACCTTGGCATTCAGTCAGAACTAATTTAAACTCACAGACATGAAATGTCTCGTGAGTCTTTAAAGTCATGTGACTGCTCTGTTTGCTGCTGCACAACAGGGGCTTCATAAGGAACCGAGTGATGAGACTATCATGAGAGGATCTTATTTTTCACGGCCCCTGACCTTGGCTCAGCAGAACACATGGACTCATTAGTGTGTCAGACAGAGAGGGGTGACCCAGCTGCACATGACTCTCGTTCTCACTTCACGCTATTTCAACAACATGGCCATCCATGACCCCAACTAATCGTGCATAGCACCTTTGAACCTGTTATGTTTTATTCTGACTTTCTGGGAACGTCTAAATGGTTGCATCCAATATTTATTGTTATTTATACAGGTTCAAATATTCAATAAGTATTAGATGTAACCATTCAGGCATGTGAGGGGTGTTCATTTATTACTAAAAAATATATTTTTTAAAATGTTATGAAATAATTTCGATAATCAGCAAACATGTATGTGGGATTTTATTCTTCATATTTTCTGAGCAACAGTACAGAGTCATGCACATGACCACAAATTAATAAATTCATTCCAATGTTTTAGTTAAATAGTGTACATGCACTAATTATTTCCCTCGTTTTAGTTATATCACACAGCCACGAACAGGATTTAAACGGGAATTAATTAGTACAACACAGCCATTATTTAACTAAATCAAGGGAACAAATTAGTAAATAGTCATGGATACATAAAACATGGTAATGAATTATGTGGAAACAAATTATTAATTCCAAATAATAATCTATTTTTAGAACTATTTTGAATGCTACAAATCCACAATCTGACTTTTGGCTTGAAATGAATCAACACTGAACTGATTTCAACTAAATAATGACTGTTAACTATTGTCTTTTTAGAGCAGAATTGAATTCTGTTTGCATCATTGAATCATTATTTTATGCTGCTTTGAAACAATCTGTATTGTATAAAGCCCTAAATAAAAGTGATGACTATTATCATGTGTGAAGCTCTGTACAACAGTGGATTCATTTGGATAAGTTAATCATGCATATTTCCGAAGCTCAAATAATGTTTTCTGTTGAAATAAACATGTAAAAGCATGTTTAAACCTGCATTTTAGCCTGTGATTTTCTTCATTTCATGATCTTAAAATAGATGAATATGCACACTACAAACATCATAATTCTACTATGCTGTGTTCATAAGACTATAGTGTTTATGTCTGATGTAAAACCCCCACCATGCTCCACTTTTAGCTTTTCAGTGAACATTTGAGTCAGTGACATGCTCAAATATAGCTCCTTCTAGTCTAAGAATAGAACGTGCAGCCAGACTATTCATGGCAGTGAGTGGCTGTTACCTCAGTATAGTGAGTATCGTTGTTAAAGGGCTGTGCTATTGCTGCCATGGAAATAAGAGCCTTCTGTTCCTGTTTTTCTTCTATATTCTCCCTCCGGCTTGACGTCAGCGCAGTCCTGAAGTGCGCAGCTCAGCCCAGCAGCCGCCCAGGGTACGCACCATGCTTTAGTCATGTCTGTCTGCAGAGGAGCCCATCAACGTCAGCTTTGTGCCTTGGGTCAGAAAACACTGTTTTCTCTTTGGCTTTTACAATGAAGACATGAATATATCTGTCAGTTGCTTACTGATCCACCCCCCCCCTAACAATGGCCCCTGTTGATGACTTCATAAAGTGGGTGATTATATCTCAATAACTTTCTTCTCATCACCCCTCTTGAATTGTGCCATTGTTTTTTTATTGTTTTTTTTAACCCTCTCCAGTAAGTGAACTTTTTTTGGCACAAGGGAACTGTAAACACTGCCACATGTACTGTAAGAACAAGAGCTCCCTGTGAAAATACAGACATGCCATTCAACTCTTCTGTACAGCATTATGTGTTCTCAAGAAAAGGTTGATACTCTGCCTTTGCAGATGTTGATGAGTCATGACATTATTCACTTCGTATTACTAAAGTTGTGGAAGAATCATGCCCAGATGTCTCAGTTGGTCTTTAAGGAATATGGTGTGAGTCAGTGCATTAGTCTTGTTGGAAGTCATGGGCGTTGAAGATGTGGGGTCTGTCACATGCAGCCTCTTTCAACCAGTCCATTTAGATGTCTGCAAAGTTAATGGGAAAATCACAGGCTATTTGGTCAACATACCCCTTCTGCATGTTTACTGTGCCAGCCTGACCTTTCACAGTCAGCAAAGAAAAGGTCAGTGAAGTCAAAGTCATCAAGCTATTAATCCCCCCCCCCTCCTCCCCCTTTTTTGCTCTTCTGAATACAGCACTAGTCTGTGACTAATGTGTTTGTGCATGTTTTCATTTCCAATCTATAAAGACATTGATTGTTCTTTTTGAACAATATTACTACATGACTGTGCCACTTTGTCTTTTTGGCTGAAAGGTAATATTAGAATCAGTGTAAAAGAATAGCTAAGCAGTTCATTGTTATGATTTATCTGACTTCTCCTCCGTCCTCCTGAGCAGGAAGATATTAAAAGGCACATGTAGAATGTACCTGCACTGCCGTGTTCTCACGTATATTTTGCACCTCTTGCAAACAAAGCCCTGTGTTTGAGAAACAGATAAGGAACCTCTTACTTTTGTACACATAGTGCTGCATCTAGGCTGCATGATTTATGATGCAGGTACAGTAGGGGGAAGTCAATATGTGAACAGCAACCTTCTTTGGAATGATGTTTCTTTACTATTAATCATAACTGTCTGTTGTCCCACAGAACAATTTATGTCCCTCTCTTCCTTATTATGTGCTTAAAATAACATCTGAAACGATAATATTGGTTATTCCAACAAGGAAGCAAGAGTATTTTTTAACTAATTTGTCTTTTTATGACCAGCTCTGAACTGAACTCATGTCAGTCCATGTGATTGCTGTAATGTCCAAAAAGATGCACTTTCTGATTTCAAATCTGGCATAAAAAACACAACAGGAACTGTTCATTTTTTTTAACCATTAGGCATGAAATTTATTTAATAAGAAAAGTACACATTTGTAAATGTATAAATAACCAAATATATTAACTGTTTTGAATGACATCAGTGTTGTGCATAAATAAAACATTATTTCTTAAATAGCACAATAAGACAAATTCAGTCTTTAATAGCAGTCTCCTATTGAAAGCGGAAGTTCTTTTCCTCTGTAGACCTGCACAATAATTGTCAGGTCTGAGTCACGTGTTATTCATTCATTCCCCACGTGGAGTGCAAAGTGCGACCATACGCCGCCATCTGGAATTATCCTGTAGCATCCTTGCTGCATCCCTTTAGAGGTCCGACACAGTCCACAACCACCCCTGGTGTTCCTTTGGTCCTTCCAAAGGGCGATAACACCGACCATGCATTATGAGGAACGTGGACGAATGTCTCTAGTATCCTCCGACACTTCGAATTCCACAAACATGGAAGTGAAAGCTCTGGAATGGACTATTAGACAGTCCCCTTTAATTGATGAGTGTGTCCTCATGACAGTAGAAGGACGACATCAATATTCCTTTTCTCTTCTGCACATTTCAGTGGAGAATAGCTCAACGCTCTTGCAGGGCAATGGAGGGCACCCACTGGTTCCTGCAACGGCTTTCCTTGCAGTAACTCCCCACCTCGTTCAGCTTCAGATGCTCAGCTTGTGGGTTCTAAGAAGGAAAGAAATATGATTAGTATTGCAAATCGTTCACTATAGTTTGTTTTGTACTTCCATGATTTGTGTTAAGGATGCAAATTGCTTCCAGAACAGGTTAGCCAAGCTCATTATCAGCCGCACTTTGTTAAAACTGTCATTCATTCAAGATATTTACGTACTACAAACATATCACAAAAAAATGCTAGTGTTTTGTTAACAAAAAGTTAAAGGTATACGACAACATACAAAAAGACTTACAGTTACAAGGATGCAGTGAAGGTCTCTTGGCTCATTGGCGTTGCTGTCAGTGGAGAGAGGCTCCTCGAGAACCTGTGCTAAACGCCTCATGCCGGACACACGCACAATGTTGATATCGATGTCACAGCAGAAAGCTTGGATGAGCGTGAAGTGGATCTGAAGCGCAACGTCACTTTCGTCCTCTTCATCGGTCGCCAAAACGCACAGGACCACGCAGTCTGGGTCACTGCAAAAGTTAGTAAATGCGTAATTTAATGTGCTATTCGGTATTTGCTATAATGCATGTAACTGATTATACTAATTGCATGTTATTAATTGAGTAAAATACTTACACATTCATTAGTTGTGCAGACTCGTAGACTCCAACTGTCAGACAGTTTTGTCGTTGCGCAGCCACTAGCAGCTCCTCGAGAGCTTCACGTACTGTTTCCATTCTTTAAAAGAAAAGATAAAACAATTGTCAGTTTTAATTTATGATGCAGTTCAAATGAGAACAAGAAAAATATAATTTTGAACCTCCTAGTTATGCGTAACAAGTAACGTTAACTTACTTTCTGTCTGTGCTGCTGCATCCAACAACTTCCTCCAGAGTCATGTTTGTCCTTAAATTATATTATAATCCAGAAATCGAAATTCCTCCAAATATTATAATTCCAAAGGATATGGCGATATTTGAAGGCGATAGTAATCCACAGAGATTTCGAATGGTTTCTCTCTCGCTCTGCTCCGATACTGTCTCGGGTCGTGTTTGGCTCGAGATGTGGGAGTCTTGGTTTTATATAGCAGGAGGAGAGTAGTAGGCGTGGTTGAAACTGCAGTCGAAACCTCATGCTAGTAGTTGCCCACGAAGGTTTCTATGGAGTCTCCTATTGTGTGAAGTATTGTGACATCTACAGTTGTCTTTGTGTGGGGAACGATCAAGGAACTATTTCCATAATGAAATCCTGCAGACTAATCTGTTAAAAATGAAAACTCATTACTGATAGATGGTTGCTAAATAGATGGATTTAAAGCTCTGAGATTTCAACCTATTGTTAAACTTTCAAAAGAAAAAAAATACATTGTATATAATATTGGATGTAATATATAAAATATAAAGGCTTATTTTATCTGTGCATTTTTTCTCCACTTTTTGTGTGTTTACATTAATTAATTGATTTATTATTTTATTTTATATGTTGTTTATTTTGCAGTTGGAATTTCTATTGCATTCTCACATACAGGTACTTGTCTATTTTGGAATGGCATTGCAAAATGCTGTGCAAAAATAATTAATAGCCTATACAGGCTATCTTCAAAAATGCTAAATTTTTTAATATCAACTAATGCACGTGTACTTTTACATCAAAACGGTGTCATTCAGACTGTAAAATAGATTAGATTAAATAGAGAATAGATTGAAAAATGGCTCAATAAAAGAATGTAATAAAATGTATAAAACATTAGGCCCATGCCTACGGATTATTATTTAACCTTGATGTGTTTTTCAGCTATTTTCTCAAATAATACTGTACAAAATAATAACCATCATCATCATCATTATCATCATCATCATAATAATAATGTAAAAAGTCACCCAATTCGCATTTTGAACAGCCATTATTCAACAGACATGAGCCTCTGGCTGTCTCGGTTGTATAGTGCTCCATCTGGTGGCGAGAACTGGAGGGCACTGAGACAGGGAGGGACGTGTGCGGGCACGTACTTCAGAAATTAAGGTGATGAAGGTAAATAATCCTTCTTTGATTACATTAGAATTAATAACTATCTGAGAATTACTCGTACCTCCGCGATTTCGTTAGTTTCGCTGCTTATGATCAGATATCATTAACTTAATGATAACATTAACTAGCTTTATTGTTAGGCTATGTCAGGTGGTGATAATGTGTTGAGTGGAACTTGTAAATTGAAACACGCTCGGTCGTTTACTTGATTGTCAGAGGTTCGCTATTTTGCATGACAATAATCAGTTCAACCAGGCCTGTCGTGATTAGATTAGGCTACATCAGTTCGATTATAGTGTGACAAAGTTTGCTGCACCATAAATCATCTGTTGAAAACGTGTTTATCATCTTAATCCTTTTCAGGTGGCATCCATACGGTCTTACAAACAATTAGCTCTTCAGTTTAAATGATAAATGCATACGTATAGCTAGCATACTGTACAATATTGTATAGCCATGGCCTGTCGATTACAATAGTTCATAGCCTTGTACACAATTTAACTTTTACATGTCAGGCTGCATGCACTTCATTAAAATATTTTCACTATTTAACTACTACTCGGCTATTTATTAGCTTGCTTTAAAAACCCTTTCCCATTCATGTTTGGCTCATCCTATAATATCAGTTATGCATATTTTTTATTTTTTTTTAACACAGTCTAAATCTGTATGTAGGGTGACCACCTGCTAATAAGCCCAAGGGGGGACAAGGGGTATGTTTCTGAGGGACAAGGTGGGACACTGCTTGGCGCGGCGGTGCCCCCACCCCACGGGCAGACTCTGATAGTGGTTTACCCATATCTAGAATTGTTACTATTGCCTTACTGTTTGTACATGAATAATTGTTCAAAAAAAAAGCACATACCTTAGCACATACATTAATAATGCCCTATTCCCTAAACATGTTTTGCTGATAGGCTATATGCTGATGCTCATGATAGGCCAACCAATGTGTATTTTTTTTCTAAATAAAGATGAATATTTTGAACATTCAATGAATTGACAGATGCACTTCCACTTACGATTTACTTTAGCTATTTAATTTTATTTATTTTTCATTACAATTAATTCACTTTAAATAAATAAAAATATAAAATTATAGGATTAACAGGAATTTTAGTTGCTCAACACCACAGGAATAGTTTTTAAAAAAGTCGAAAAAAAGTCTAAACTCACAACTCCAGAGGTTCACGGAACGAGAAGCTGCGCTGTCATGACAACAATGAAAAAGTTGACAACAACCTAGTCGGCAGGTCACGTGGGAGTGGCAACCAGTGTTGGGGAAGTTCACTTTCTACATGAACTAGTTCAAAGTTCAGTTCACACATTTTAAAATGAACTAGTTAAGTTCAAAGTTTGCACAGAAATGTAAGATTTTCCCCATCTTCACCGACCTCGTTATAAAATCCGTTTAAATTATCATACGACGCCTTTGTCAATGGTGGCCGCGGTGCGACACTGATGGCTTGTGTTGCCAGATTGGGTGTTTTTTCGCTACATATTAAGCCCTGTTTACTGTGAGTTTTAGCCGGGTTTTCGCCTGGAAGGCTCTATAAAAATCTGGCACCCCATTAAACTGAGAGAGCGTGCGTTCACAGACACCGGAATGAACGAGTTCACACGTTCATCGGGACAGGCAGTAAAACAATACGTTCAGTTCACCCAAAATATGAACGAGTTCTGAAAATATGAACGAGTGACCGACTTTTTTTTTCTTTTTGAGAAAGCATTGATTATGCGTGACACGGTCTCAATTTGCGGGACGCATGAATTGGGCTTCAAACGCTGTGCGCACACGCGCTACGCGGGACGGGTGGTCACCCTATCTGTATGTAAAGCTTTAAAATGCTTTTCGATGCCCTGTGACACACTTTAGATAGATAGACAGACAGATAGATAGATAGATAGATAGATAGATAGATAGATAGATAGATAGATAGATAGATAGATAGATAGATAGATAGATAGATAGATAGATAGATTTTATGATGAAACAATGTTTTTGAAATGCTTTACTTCGATTTTTTACTTTGGATTTTAGCCCAAATGGCTACACAATATTTAGTAGTTATTCGGAGGTCGACCTCTGGTGGCGTGTGAAGGTATTGCAGGGTTTAGAGAACAGATTAATATACTAAATATAAAACGTTTCTTTAAAAATATGAAAACAACTCAGAAATTCAGCAAATAACTTAAGACAGAGGAACAGCAAGATGTTCTTGTTAAGTTAAAGAATAACAAACAACTGGACATTGGGAAAAAAAGTTCAGTAAAAAACTACTTCGCACTCTTAAATGCTATTCTTGTAGAAATTATTTACCTATTTTTTTTTTTTTTTTTACTCTTTATTTCAGACCTATGGGTCCATATCAAACAAACAGAGTAGAACAAAAACAATACATACAGACATCGATTTACAAACACACATTTTTCTTAAAAAAACATATAAGTTTCCACTGCCTCCAGGAAAAATACCTTGGATCACTTAATGTGATGTTATTTAGCACCATTATGATACTATTTTTTGAGTCACTCAACTGACACATAAAATTGTACATATACCTCCGTAATACAGCATGTAGAGCGGGTACAATGTTGGAGACAAACATCTGGCTTGTGCTTGTCCACCTTGGGACCCTAAGCAAAATTCTAAGCGCATCATTATATGCCACCTGGAGCTTTTTAATTTTAGCTCTAGAATATTTACACAACAAGTGGGCTGTATAGAGAGAAGTACAGTATGCCCTATTTTAACATCGTCTGTACACATATAAAATTTACGAGCCAACACATTAGCTTGCCCATACAGCTTACAGCACAGACGCTGTATGTCATCGTCATCATTTAAGTCATTTCTAATAATGTGACCCAAGTATTTAACCTTAGTTACCACATTTAAAACTTGGTCATTTAAATAAAAAGAAGGAAATTTTGACTTAAGGTCCTCTTTGGTTCTAACAATCATGACCACACTCTTTTCAACATTAAATTTAATATCATGCTGCACACCATAGCTTGAGCATATTCGAAGCAGCTGTTGTAATCCTACACTATAAGGAGACATAATGACTAAATCGTACATCAAATGATACTATCACCTATTACACATCCAGTCTTACAATAATTTAACTCTATAGAGAGACCATCCATGTACAGGTTAAAGAGAAGAGGTTTTTGTGAAAGAGAAGAGGTAATTGTGATTGAGACAAAGTTAATTCATTTATAATGCATTGGATGCAAATTCTTGCTTAAGTTTAATTGTCTTAAATTTAAAGTAAACTTGTTGACCACCATCCCATCATTCACATGTCTTACTATTTATCTGAAGTGTGATACATGTGAGCACAGCATTGTGCAATAGGGTGCAAGTTGGATGCTGTCCACAAGGATGCCTCTTTTTTTAAATGCCTTAAGATAGAAATTATGTTTTTTTTTTCATTTTCAATTAGCTGTGTAAGTTAGCCCGTGTAAGTGACTTGCAAATTCAAATAAAGAGTTTACTGAATGGTTGAGTTGTTTTTCGTTCATCATCATCTATTTAATTGAATGAATGCATTTTACTGAACTCATGTATTTCCTATTTGATTCCTGTTAAATGCAAAAACAATACATGTTGAAGATTGCTGCAAAGTGATGCTTGCAACTGGCGGTCTGAATCCTGACTTGGATTGGTCAGCTTCAGTTTCATTCAAAATATCCGCCTGTTCCTTCAATAACGCCTGAATCGAATGCTTGTGTATTACATCATAAGAATAACTTTCCAACATGGCGTCGGGTGTAACGGCAGCGATGGAATCAGAGGACCCGACAGCCCATCATCCTGGATTCAGCAATGACAAATACTCGATGTTGATTGTGATCGGTGCGCTCTATAGACCGCATATACTGGACTATATTGTGGTGGAGATTGAACGAGGTATTTATTTTAAATGTTGGATTTCTATTAATTATAATAACAGTGTTAATCCAAGATGTCATAGCCTAATAATTATTTGATATTAGCCTATCATTATCTCTGAAATCTGTGTGTAGCTATATAACTGGTTGCGATCTGGAAATTCAATGCTTTGATTTTGTTATCCAGCGGTTCTTTGGTGAATAGAGATGAAATACGATCAACACAGTGCGACTCAATGCGCCTGGCACTTCCTCTCGTTCAGCAATTCATTTTATACGCATATTTCGTCAAGCTCTCGTATAGGCTACAGTATGGGCTATAGCTTTTAAAGCAATGATACTATGTTTATTTTGGTAGAAGATTCATGTAGCTGTTCCCTGCACTGCAGTGTTATGACATCAGTAAACATCAAAAATAGCCACCTGCATCACCCTTCCCAGTATGCTGATGAAGTATCACTGTTAATTTGAATGTGACAGTCGTAGAAACGAATTCGTATTTTAAGTAATGATGTGTTCTTCACACATCAACAGTAGGCTGCATGTTCACACCCACCTCAGCGGTCTTTTTTTTCTTTTTTTTTCTTAACAGTAACATGTAAATTAATTTTAGTGTCCATCACCCTGATGAGAAATCCAACTTAATCTAGAGCAGTTGGTCTAAAATTATAGTTTATCACCTTAGACCAGCTAGAAACCAGCTACCAATGTAAGCTGGATTTTCCCGCAAGTCATTAACATTTCAACAACAGAGACGGTGGTACATTATAGACATGTGAGGCTTTAACAAAATGTCAGATGTTGAGACGACGGATGTCTGAGTGATCAAAAACAGAGCTTGTCTCCATGGTGAGCAGGCAAAAATGAAAATCTGTTTACAACGAAATAAGAATAAGAGCTTTTTTTCTCCTCATATTTGCTTTTATTTAAGTTTTACTTCACACAGAGGTAATAGCTTCTATGTCAGATTTTAAATCTTTCTTACAATATTACAGTATGACTTTAGTTTATTGTCAGTCCACCCTTATTTGGAAATTTACCTGACATTCCTGCTATACCGACATTGTTAAATGTTTGTTTATTTATTTCATTGCAAGAAGTGATGAGTTGTTTTTTTAAGATCATAATTAGATGAGAACATTAGGCTCAGAGGCATTTATATTTCATGAGAATTGGAGAACAAAGCCGCAAAAAAAAAAAATAAAAAAATTTGATGGTCAGTCAGCCAACCATCTTATTTGTCTCTGAAAGGCATTATGTGGACATATTTCAATAACATGCGGACACTAGTGCTTTAGCACATTGTTTTTGTAAACCCAGTACAGTAAGTGTCAATAAGAAATTCAGCACGTTTTAATTCATGGAGTTTTGATAATGCTTAGAATTCGTAAAGATATTTGCAGTTTCTTTACATAGGTGTTCGTGCATGGGATGTGGACTTGGCAGTGTGTAACTTGGATGAGCAGCTGAAGCTCTTTACTTCTCAGCATTCTTCATATGAATCAAAAGACATTAGAGGTAAGGTACTCCTTATTTCTGCTTTCTAATATTCTCTGACAATGAGTGCCTTTTTTTGGGAGGTTCTTTTTCAAAGCCATACAGTAGACAACTTTGTGAGGTATACAAAAAGAAGCAAATTTGGGTTGGCAGTGAAAGAATAAGACACTGTTGGGAATATTTTGGAGCACATGATATACGTGTGGGATGCAATCTTACAAATTAATAAAGAAGCAACTGTGTTCATTCCCAGCAAAGCTCCATTTAATCTGACATGCACAATATTATTCCACTTAATAATTAAAAATGGTCATATTTTCAATGTGTATAAGTTTGTGATCCATTACCATAATCTGATTATGAAAATATTTTCTTTTCATATAATCTAAATACAACAAAATAACAACAACAACTATTCATATATTAAAAGATTTCTGAGAATAGCAGATATTTATGTATTACATAGACTATGTGTATATTTTATTACAGCCAGCCTGTCTGATGTTAAAATGCATTAGTATGTTTACTTTGCTTTATTGGGAATCATTAATTAATTATAATTTTAATATTTATATTGTGTAAAGAAAACTGTAAACTGTGTACTGTCCACAATAGTAACTTCCCGCTTCTATTATTCAGTAAAAGTTGTATTTAGGTTGGCGTGTTGGTCCTAATTTGCTATTTCCATACACACAGCAGAAAGACAGGAAGGAAGTGCTTTCTACCAATTGTTCAGACTTTGGCTGCTGGTAAAAAAAACAACAAAAAAAACAGCAGGGGAACATTTTCTTGCATTAGTTTTGAAAGTGATTTTACTGACAAACCATACATAGACTTTTGCATATCTAATACGTGTTCTTTTAATTTGCATTGCTCTGGTTCTGAAATTTGACTCATGATTTAGAAAGGTTACAGAATAGCCAAATACTTAAGTTCTTACACAGTAGGGGTGCATAATCTTTTTAACTTTTGAGTTTAGTGCAGTTTGCTTTTATTTACCCTATTGTTCAGTCTTTTTGTGGATTCTTTTTGTTCAATAATGTTTGCTGTTGAGAAATCCACATAATGTATGCATGCCATCTTTGTATGCTATTCTGATTATTTCTTCCTACAATCTCATTATAGGTCAGAAGACATTTCATTTCAGTTCAGATGTACTGGACATTAAAGTTGTAGTAAATCCATCTGAAGGGTTTCTCTACTCTGAGGTGTGTGACTGTTAAAGGCATCTATTGTTCTCTTCCTCAATTCTATTTATTTGTATTATACAATAATCAATAAATGACAAGGGTCACATTAGATATGTTAAAGCTAAATTTACATACAGTATGTATATATATATATATAAACACACACACACAAACACAGATGTGTGCTACCTGTATATTTGCTGTATTTATTGTTCACTTTGTAGAAACAATATTTATATATTAAATATATATATATATATATTTACTTTTTTTTATTTTATTCAGGTCCACAGCTTGATATCATCCATACCTCGGCACAAATTGCTGGTGCTCACGGGACAGTCTCTTGAGGACTCTGGAGATCTGGTCCTTCAGACGGGGCAGTTCACTCCAAATGATTTCATCCAGATAATTTCAGATGAAGAGGTTTGCCAGACTGTAAATATGTATGCCAATATTTTAAAGTGTTTTCCTCACTTTAGTAGTGGAACTATATTTGAATATAATATGATTCTTCTGAGCATTACAAATGATTCTGTTGTACTCCAGTCTAATGTAATAGCTGTTTTCATATATTTGAATTAATGCTGTTTTCTGTACATTTCTAACAGATTCAAGCTCTCTTAAACTCTGTAAGCACACATGGCAAAGCAAACCTCACTTTAAGCTGCCCTAAAACTGGAAAATGGAAAAACTCGGTGCTAGGGAAGCACAACATACATAACATTATCGACATTAAGGTGAATCCTCTAATGGTACTACCCAAAATGGGGGGCCTTCAAGAGTTCACCGACCACATTTTTGAGTCCATAGAGCCACAGTCTCCATTTGATCTCTTAGAGCCACCTGGCACAGTAGGATTTCTCAAGCTATGTCGTCCGTGCTGTTATGTCTTTCCAGGCGGGAGAGGTGACTGTGCCTTTTTTGCTGTCAATGGGTTCAATATTTTGGTAAATGGTGGAGCAGATCCACGCTCTTGCTTCTGGAAACTTGTCAGGCATTTGGATCGTGTTGACTCAGTGCTGCTTACACATGTTGGAACAGACAACCTGCCAGGAGTTAACAGCCTGTTGGAGAGGAAGGTCGCAGAGCTTGAGGAAAACAAAACTGACTCACAGGAAAAGGAGCAATGGGCAAAGAATCTAATCTCTCCAGAGCTTGGTGTGGTTTTCCTAAATGCCCCAAACAGACTTAAAAAACTTCAGGGTGATCCTAATGTACTACGAAGCAGTGATATAGCAGCACTTATTTTACAGCATTTGGAAAAACTAAAGATCTCACCTGAACCGCTTTTTCGCAATTCAAGTGGCTCCATAGAACCAGTTATTCTTTTCCAGAAAATGGGAGTGGGATGCCTTGAGCTTTACATCCTAAATCCAGTCAAACGTAGCAAAGAAGTAGAGTCTTACATGAATAACTGGCCAGATAATAGTTCCAAATCAAAGAGTTTAGATGGCCACCTAACCTCTTTGGTCTCTATATGTGCTTTGCTTGTTTGGCATCCTGCTAACCCAATGGAGAAAATCATTAGAGTTCTCTTCCCTGGCTCTACACCACAAGGAAAGATAATGGATGGTCTGGAGAGACTGAAGCATCTAGAGTTTCTCAAGCGCCCTGTAGTGTGCTCAAAAGATTTTGAAACATCAAAATCAGATAAGAATCCAAAAGGTGCAGAGAGTCAGGACAGTTCCAAATCTGTCAAAAATGAATCCAGACCAAGTAATGGTGCTTCAAAAGACCGAGCTGATCGTGGAGATCTAGAGCTAAAAGACAAAACCAAAGGCGTGCATGGGAATGATCTGAAAAGTGAAGAAAAGTTGAAATCTGTAGAAAGCAATGTGAAACATAAACACCCCAGACTAGTTACAAGGAAGGAGTCTTTGAAGGACAAGAGCAATGGAAAAATAAACATATCAGAATCAAAAAAACAAGAAAATGGACAAAGAGAAATGTCAGGTAGCAAAAATGCTTCAATGAGAAGACCAAAGTTAGAGAGCAAATCCGAAGAGAGAAAAGCAACAAAGCCTCTTGGGAAAGATATCAAGAAAACCTCTGCAGGATCACTGAACTCAAACAAGCCTGGAAACATAAAAAACGAAGCAAAATTACACAAACAGGCTGAGGACAAACCCAAAAATTTTAAATCTAACAAGGAGCAGCAGAATCAGAAGTTGTCAACAGACTCAGAAGACATAAATTGCTCCATTGTGTCTTCACCAGAAGATATGACGGCAGATTTTCTGGAAATGGATCGAGAACAACATGATTTACTTGTGAAGAGGCAAACTGTTGACTTTGGGAACCTAAAAAATATCTCAACAGGTAATGTGCAGTCTATGTGTAGTAGCATAGTAAACCCTAGCAAGTCCGGAGCATCTGCAAGACCCTTTGTCAAAATAAAAAATGAGCTCTGTGTGAATCTAGACCTCACTCCCACTGAGTATACTTTGCTTGATGGGGCTTTGAAAGATGGGCATGAGGAAGTTTGTGTCAGTCCCGATGAAAAGACGTTAGAGCTTACATCTCCTAGATCACGTCCAAATAGTGCTGGTCATACTCCTTATCACTTGTCACCTGAGGAGACCTGGGCCTCAAAAGATCATAGTAGTTTTGGCGTTAAGATGTGTCTTGGTTCAGAGAGCCAGCAGATGGGATTGTCCAAGTTTTCAGAGTCCGGATTGCCTAAAAGTAACCAAGAAAGTATCTCAACTTCCTCCAAAGAGAAGCATTCAAGTTTCCTGTCTCTCAGCTCTTTCAAGGATATAATGCCTGACATATCTCCCACTGTTACCACCACCACACACTCAATGCCTGCAGAAGTAAGTTCACCACAGTCCACTGAGGTTGATGAATCATTGTCGATGTCTTTTGAACAAGTGCTGCCAACAGTAAGCGAGTCCACCAACGAAGACGAAACATCTTACTCAAATGGACACCATGTCAATTCTGATTTCAAAGTTGGAATGTCTCTGTCTTTAAAGAAGCCTCACACCCAGAGGCCACCTCATGATGGCCCGGAAGGGTGTTCATCTGGACCGCATTGTCTAGTATTTGATGGTACCCACGATGTTGACCTTTGCTTGGTCTCTCCATGCGAGTTCAAACATTTCAAGCCGGTTGGCGATCAAGAGGATCCACTGTCACTAGGTTTAAGTAACACCAGCCCATTGAACCTTTCTGATGATAGTGACCACTCCCAAGATGTAGCCAAGCCCCTTCCACCTTCATGTTCAGGTAACAAGGCTACTCATCCAGCTCAGGAGACCCCTCTCACTTCTGCCAGTGACTATTTTTTCATGGCAACAGACTCAGATGTACATACTGGTGTAGAGGATTGCCCATCCATCACTGCAGACGGTATTCTGGATTCTGATGAAGAAGGGGTTGTGAACCCGCAATCCCAAAACCTAAATGATGTGAATTCTTGCAGAGTGAATCATCCTTTACCGAAGGATCCCCCACCCGCACCTCTGAAAGACTTACCTCCTCTTCCACCTCAGCCTGGTGCTTGTATGCCTGATCCTGTCAGCAACATAAAGCCTGGTGCAACAAAAGGCAGAAAAGCAGGAAGAGTTACACAGAGGTTAACGTCTTCTAGTGTTTTAACACAAGGCACAAAAACCAGGGCTGACAGTCAAGGTACTTCTGTTAGCGGCTCAAGAAGCAGCTCAGCAGGAGACATAATGGGTAGTCGTAGCACAGGCTCTGCTTCTAAACGGTCAACAACAGCAGGTTTGAACTGATTTTACATTGTTTATTTTTGAATATATATATATATATATATATATCTGATACTGACTGGAGTCATAATACATCAACAGGTAGCAAGGTTGGTGCTTCAGTATACTTGGACCTGGCTTATCTTCCATCGGGCCATGGAGCTTCCACTGTTGATGTTGAGTTTTTCTGTCGCTTGCGATCATCCTGTTACATAATGAGTGGAGATGACACACTCAAAGAAAGCTTGATGAGGTCCATTCTGGATGCATTATTGGAGGGAAAATCTGTATGGCCGGAGGATGTGCCGGTATGTATGAGTAGATTAAGGCTACGTCCACATTAATCCGGATACATTTGAAAACGGGATTTTCGTTTAAAAACACTCTCCGTCCACACTAGCGTTTTCAGGCGTTTTCCGACGTTTCAGTGTGGATGAGAAACTTCTAAATTCACTTAACTGCGCATGCATGAAACTTCACAAAAGCTCACTGAGACGATACAGAGGGGAAAATAAATAATAAAGTAAAGTTATCGCGCAATTCTTCTAACAGGATAGTTTTATTTAGCAAAATATCTCACCATCACTGATGCGTCCAGGTCGCATTCAGTCACCATATGTTTGGTCTAAAACGCAACTGCTCTCCTGTTTTGCCGCTGGACAGCAAATGTAAGTAGATTATCTGTCCTCTTTGCAGTACTGTGCTATGAAGAATAGCACATATTAAGTAACATAGAAAGCAACATATTTTAGCAACAGTGTAAAAATGAATGACACATAACAGGCACAATACCGATAAACATGAATATCTATTGGTACTACATGGATCACATGACTAAACTTACATCATCGTTTTAAAACATCTCCGGTTTCACTGTCCACACTACAACGCGAAAACGGCGTTTCCAAATTTATCCACTTTGGAGAGCGTTTTCCAAAAGATACGTTTTCGTTGACTTAAAACGCCGTCTCAGTGTGGACGGAAGGCCAAAACAGAGATAAAAATATACGTTTTCAAACGAAAACGTATTAGTGTGGACATTGCAATATACAGAAGTCATCAATTCAAATAAACTCCACTGAACTTTGGTCTCTCTATCGCCATCTGTGGTTAAACATATAATTGCAAGTTACTTGAATTGTTTTTTGTCATGCCACTTTCTGCCATGCCACTTCTACAGTATATCTATGGTTACATATCAGAGTGGACCCAAAACAACCTTCTGTAATGCACCTTTAAAAGCTACTACATTTTTGTGGGGATAATGAAGCGTACTTAGTCTGTTTTATCTTTGTGTAAATTTCTAGGTGACCCTGATTCCCACATTTGAATCACTGATGATGCATGAGTGGTACCGGGAAACTCAAGAAAAACAACGGCAACTGGGCATTACAGTCCTAGGCAGCAACAGCACTGTGGCGATGCAGGATGAAACATTCCCTGCTTGTAAAGTAGAGTTCTGCTAGATGGATAGGGATGACACATGCTTTACATTTTCCATCTGTGCATCCCATGCTTATTTAAAGGGACACATACACAAATTTCACCACCATAGATTCATATGTACAGTTATGTTCTCGGCAGATGCTTCACCAAACAACTTATTTTGTGTTCGTGAAGGATTCCTAAGCAGTTAGCTAAGGACTAAAAGACACAGTAAAATCACAAGTATTAAATCAACACCTATGTATTTACTCTAGGAGTATAATTGCACTGGTTTGTTATTAAGAAGAGTATTTAATAGATTCTCACTATTCAAAAATAGATAGTAATAATTAAATACTGCAAACTTTAACATAATCCCCAGAGTTCAGATCTTTCTATAGAACACACTTCTTTGGAAAATGCATTATTTTGCATTGCATTAGTTTATGCGGGTGACTGAGGTAGAGAATTGCATTGATTATGCCATTGTGCATGAAGACCATTGCATTGCTCTGAAAAGGATAGTATGATACCATTTTCCAGTCCCTTTTACTGTATGAGGACTGGTAGCTTCACGCCAATTCACACAGATATGAATGTACTGCACTATAATAGAAAATCACTATGAAATCTTTATAAATATGACGGCATGTAAGTGAAGATTTCAGTTCATCCCGTTTGGAAATGTGAAAAGTAGAAGTGGCAACTGTGACACCAAGTATAAATTGTAACTACAGTTCAGAGCCTCTGATATCTTCTTTATGCCTACAGTGCTTCTGATACTGAGTGCTGATGTAGTGCTCCTTTATTTTTTTAGATGCATCTCCTTAATTCAGCACTATAAATAGAATGTCTGGTAGGTTTGTGGGGCACAGAATAATTTTTAATTCATGCATTGCTACAATCATGGAAAGTGTGTAATATAGGCTTCTTATATGTATTAATTAATATGAAGTATACTAATTAAAACATTTAAATGTCATTGTAAATACTTTGCTGATTCCTCGTCAGTGTGCTAGGATAAAACAATCACACAATGCACAGACATCATTTGTGGAAAAGATTGCTAAATGTTGAGAGAAACAAATTTCAGGTAATACTGTAAAGTATCAATAAAAATGGTTGAATATAATTAAATTGGACTATCCCAGATAGCAAGCAATCATTTGATGCGTCAACGCTAATTAATAATTTTACAAAGTGATGTTGGTTCAACATTACTTTTGCATCCACAATTAATGTTGAAATAATGGTGAGATAAAAAACAACAACAATGGTAATGTCACTGAATCAATGTTATGAAGTGATGTTGGTTCATCACCCCTTTCTCAAAAAAACATTTAATGGTGAAACAATGAGATTTCAACAAAAATATGAAAATGTCATAATACTATTATGTTGAAAAGAACACTTTCTTATGGAAGACCAAACCTATAAAAATAAAAATTACTATATATCAACAAAATGGTACCATTCTGCCCTGGTAAAAGAGTTCCCCTTCTTCAACTAGGCAGACAGATGACTCCTTCCACAAGAAAGCTGAACTGAAGCATGGATTTATAAACACCACCACTCCAAATGCAAGTGGAACAGAGTAAAACTGATATACAGAAAAAGGAAAAATAATTTTCTAAAGACTGGACTGTACATTAATAATTGAAAGAGTTTGTTTAAGGTATAATTAAACATATCGAACACAATAATAATCTAGATACATGTAACATTGTACTGAAAGGTCTTTATGAAAATATATTTTAACCTAAAATTACTGCCACTAATTCCAGACAAAGGTGAAAAACAAGCTTCTAGTAAACGCATTAATATTTACAGACAAAGCTTAATGATTGCAAAGATGTTGAAGAGATTGAGCTGCTTTAACACAGACAGTATAAGAAGTGGACATAGCCATCTCATTGGAACTCCATATTGAGACAAGTGAAGCCCATTTTTGGCGATTTTTTTTTAGCACTTCCGTTCCTGAGGCGCAGACTCAAACAACGTAGATATGTCGTGAGCAACCCATCTGTCTTCTAGTGGCTGTGGCTTGAGAAATCTGAATCATGCCCTTCTGAAACTTGCAGAGGCGGAGAATGTGAGTAGGAGCTGTCCATGAGCTTGGAGCAGGAGAAACTTTTGCTAGGTTTTCTGATTAATTATTTTGTCATTTTGCCTCCACGTTTCCACGATTGCCTGCAAGCTTCTCCTCCTGTCCATACGGTAATCTCTCTACTGTGCGACAGAGAGTCGCTTGGTTATGATGCAATCGTTAGCCTACTTTTACAAAAAACTGCTTCTACGGGGCCATAACATGCTACAAGCTACAAGGTAATGGAGCATTTTATACATTATCGTGTTTCTTTAGAAATAAATAATGGACAAATGGGGTCTTCAAACGCCTCAGATGTAAAGTTATTCGCTGTCAAAGTGATGGCAAAATGAATGGGAGTCAATGGAAATGCTAACGCAAGTGAAGTTCTGCTACAAGATGGCAGCTCCCGCGAGGCTTCAACTTCCAGTCGATGGATTACCCCCTTGCTTTAACCATGTGACTATCAACATCAACTGAGTAAGCAAGATGGCTGCAATTAAGGTCAGAGGTTATTCTCTCTGACAACATCAAAAACGTACATGGACTAGCACTAGGCTCAAAACTAGGGTAGAAAATAGCCTATTACTTATTCAAAAACCAAGCGAACGTCATAAGTTGACCTTAGACAACAATATAATAAAATTTAAAAAGCCAGTTCATGACCCCTTTAATATTGTTATTTGTTTGTGTTTTGGTCATTTTCTGTATTGCCATTTAGAGTTATTTCACCTTCTTGTTTCTCTGGTGAAACAAGTTTCATTTTGCATCTGGTAATTTGATTTGTAAATGTTTCAATATTATTGCATCCTGGTTTCATGTGTCCTTTATGTTGCTTACACCTTTGCAGTGCAACTTTAGTTGGTTACTGATTCCAAATTACATGACAAATATTGTTGTTAGTAACATAATCCATTACATTGCACATTTAAGGTAATATAATCTGACTTCTTTTTTATTACTTTAGTTTAGATAGATTTTATTACTTTTGACCTAACTCATTTATCACACTGATTTGGATAGGAATGAATGAAATATATTTTTGAACGAAAATACAAAGAGAAAGAAAATATATAAATAACATGAAGTGCATTAAATTTTACATTAGGTCAGGATTTTCACAGAAAAGGGAATTTCCCAGTTTTTTTTAATGAGCGGCAGGTTTGCGAGTTTAATGAAAAGCATTACTGAATAGAAAAAAACAAGATATGTATTTTATTTGCTTACCATGTGTTACGGTATCCATCCTTTCTGGAATATCCTTACTCCAGTTTCAGCGCCCACTTTTGCATGTTTATGGACTCATATAATTGCTTCCTGACTGCTGCTGATAGATTGCTGATTGACTATCACCTGTTCTGATTCAAATCTGATTAGTTAACCTATATCTGGCTTGTTAACCTGGTGTCTGTTTGTGAAGGATTGTTTCACTGTTGTGTGAATGCCTGAGCATTCCTGGTTTTCCTTGCCTATCTGTGTCTTGACTCTTGCCTTGGTGGATCTCTGTGATTTTCTGCAGCCTGCCTAGTGACCCTCTGCCTGTTTCTGGATTTTGTTTGCCTGCAGCCCGCCCTTGATCTTCAGCCTGGTTATCGACACGCCTATGTTTAACCCTGAAACTATTGATGCTGATTCTTTATCTTTGACAAAGTCTTAGATTTGAACAAATTGTTGCATTTGGATCTGCCTCTGTCATCTCCTTCATAACACCATGTGACCATTAGAGAACCTCGAACTTAATTGTATTATTTATTATCATAATATTTATTTTTTGCAGGGCAGCAGAGATCCGAAATGTCATTAATTTTAAGATTGTTACATTTTGGTCTGATAGAAGCTTTATTAGGTGTCATTACTAAACTATTTTTTATTCGAGTGTTTTAATTATGAAACATTACTATGGCAAGCCATAGTAATGCACGATCGAATAGCTATCTGATCACAGAAAACGCATGAAGTGACCAGGTGTAGGCTAAACAGCCCCTTTGAATCCATCGTCTACTTTTGTGGAAAGCTGACTAGAGTTGCGTCGCTCGAGTTCTCTGTTACGGAGAACAGCGGCGAATAGCTACACGAACCGGCCAGACATAGCTAGGCGAGCGTGAACGCGCATGACGTCACGCCCAGTCTCAGATTCGAGCCCGAATCCCTCTTATATATTTCACTGTACATGATTATAGAGGTGATCGCAGTGATCAAAGAAGGGCTCATTCAGCTCATCAGGCAATTGTTTAAGCATGTATGGGTTAGAAAACGGCTATTTTTAACATGAAATGTTGTGCAATACACCTTTAACTAGAGATGTTTATTTATTTGTATAATTTACATCCGTGCCATGAAAAGAGGTGAGGACAATATCGACCCAATATCGCTGAAAGTGGTGGGGACATCCCACCCGTCCAACCTGCAAATTACGCCTATGGAAATGGAACATGTAGAAATCTTGAATTGAGATGAATTAAATATATTTTGAACCACAGTAACTAGTCAGAATCAAATTGTAGATATCTCACACTGGAATTACAGATATCTACAATTCAGTTTCAGATATCCGTAATTCACACAGTGGATATCTCCAACCGAATTGTAGATATCTGTAATGATGAACCCCATAAAAATGAATGGCAAAAGTGATGTCATTTGTCCTAGGAAGAATGTCTTTGTGGAAATCCTAAATTACAGTTATGGATAGGAAGAATGTAGTTGTGGATATCTGAAATGTTCTTTTTGACTAGGCAAAACTGAATTACAGATATCTGCAACACATATCCAGTCTAGCTGTTAAATGTCAAAATGGCTTGCCATACATCACATGATTTCAGTGATTTACTAAACTTGTCAGAACCAAACCTGCAACGACAAGTTTCGTTTTCGTGACATAGGCTGTGACGTATAGGGCCTATAAGATGCATTTCACTGAAAACGAAAGGAATCTATTTCTAGGTTGGGAAAGAAAGTAGGCAATTCTGACGACTTGTTCAACCGTAAGCTGTTTTCATTATTATTATTATTATTATTATGTGCAAGATCATTGCATTTTTTATTGCATTTGCATACTTAATATCATTTAAATTCTTTGAGTCCTTTTAGATGAATTTGGGTGCTTGGGGTAAAAACCTATATACTGTATACGTTGCTCTTTTTTAATACAGGCTAGTAGCGTGCACATTTTACAATATATTAAAAATACTTTTAAAGGACCTTTTCTTTCTATTCCATTATAACCGCATGCTTTAAAATGTTGGTTGAATGTTTTTCAGATCATGAGCACCATCACATCCAACTTGACCAAATGGCAGAAGAAAAAGCTCTGCTCCTTGCTCAGCCATGACAGACTGTCCCTGCTGTTCAAAGCCAGTGTGCATGGCTACCATGTCAATACATTTCACCAAAAGTGTAATACTCAGGGGCCAACTGTTATTGTAGCTTACAATAAGTCCGGATATGTTTTTGGAGCTTTTACTAGCAAAAATTATGGTCAAACAGGCCAACATGTTGTGGATGACAAAGCTTTTCTCTTCAGCTTTAATGACAAAGAGGTTAACGAAGCTCCTCTCCGTGTGTTCAGTGGAAATCCCCAGTATTCTTTCACTGACAATGGTCCGAACTTCAATTCTTTAATGTTTCTGTACAATAACACTGCCACCGTCTACAGTAATCCAGGAACATACACATTCGATCCACAGAAGATGCATGGGAATGACTTACAGCTGACTGAATGCGAGGTGTACAGAGTTGAAGGTATTATTTCAGTTAATTGCACAGAAAATAGTGCACCTTCAGTAATGATTGTGTGAATAACTATGGTTTGGATTCTCACCAGACTGTGGAGGACTCTTGGAGAAACCATGGAGAAATGTGCAGTGGACCTCTGAGTGAGTGAAGCAAATTTAGTGTCTTCTTAAAAGTAATTTAGATAATAATTTGGTCTGTTGTTTTTGTTTTAAGATCAAGGTCTTTTACAAGGTCTTGGTCTTGTTCCTTAAGGAATTTGACAATGAAATTAATATTTGTAGGAGAAGGAAGGAGCTTTTGAGCATCATCTCAGGCTGGAAGCCTTTTGTTAGCTCGGTTAAACAGGCTCGTATTCTACTGGTGGGTCCTGTTGGTGCTGGGAAATCAAGCCTCTTCAACTCTATCAACTCTGTATTCAAGGGTTATGTGAGCAGCCAGGCCAACACTGGCACTGCTGGAACCAGTTTGACTACTCAGGTAGAAATGCACCTTGATTATTACACATCTGATATTTTACAGAGGGATATATTGCTATTGGTTATCTCTATGCTGTATTTAAACGAATGGCTAAATATTTGTGCCTTGTAGTTCCGTACCTACCACATAAGGCCAGGCAGCGGTGTCAGCCATGTTCCCTTCTCTCTGTGTGACTCGATGGGTCTGGAGGAGGGTTTGAACAGCGGTCTGGCTGTAGATGATTTTGCCAGTATTTTGAAGGGTCACATTCAAGACAAGTATCAGGTGAGAACTTTTGGTAAAGGGTGTAAACATAATAGGTTAATAGGTTTAGATGATGTTTTACTGGCTAGTTACAGGAATAAAAAAGTAATATATAATATAAATAAAACATTTTATTCTTGATGATTTAAAGATTTTGACATATCTTTTTCTTAGTTGAACCCATCGATGCCTATACAGCCAGACTGCCCTCATTTCCACAAATCTCCTGGCTTGAAGGACAAGATTCACTGTGTGGTGTATGTGATAGACGCCAGCAAAGTCAAGATTCTCTCTGACAAAATGATCGAAAAGTTTGTGGTGTTTCGAAGGAAAACCAACCAGCTCGGTGAGCGACTGATAATGACACAGATTTGAATTAATTTTAAGTGACACGAGTGTATTTTGTCATTTAAAGTATGTAAATTCAATTTACAGTCTCTCTCAAGAAACTTTTTTGATGTCACTTCTTCTGTACAATTAACACAAATGTTTACCCATAGGTTAATGATCTCTGGGATTTTAGTATTTATTCTGTACTTCAGGTATTCCTCAGCTGGTTCTGCTCACTAAGGTGGATGAGGCCTGTCCCTTAGTGGCAGAAGACCTGAAAAATGTCTACCAGAGCCACTATATCAACAAAATGGTAAATTAATATATTTGACTTTATAGTCAGTATTCTATACTGTTCTCTTTCACATCTTGTTCTTGAGTATTTCTGATGAACTGTTTTGTGACAGGTGCAGGAGGTGAGTGCTCAGCTTGGAGTTTCTATGTCTGCTGTGATCCCAGTGAAAAACTACTACCAAGAACTGGAAATAGACCCTCAAACTGACATACTGCTTCTAAACGCTGTTGTTCAGATACTCAGAGCCACTGAGGGCTTTTTTGATGATTTTTACAATCCAGAGGAGAGGTCTGAGTAGAGCTCAGTCTCTTTTCCTTGTCTGACCTAAAGGTGGATGCAGGCTATTATTTGTATTAACAAATTTAATCTTTCGGTTTACACGCATAATCATATGAATATTTGTTACAGTGTGTGCTTTGAGTGTTTTCCTCTTGCTGTATATGTGTGACATCATTACTCCTTTCATCTCTCTGAATATATATGTTAGTTAAGGTCCTTCCTTGTGCACCTGTGTTACTTAGTTTTTAGAGTGGACAGCCATTTGTAAATCGAATGTGTTTGGTTTCCGGTGTCATCTGCTTTATTTTATTATTGTTATTTGTTTGTGTTTTGGTCATTTGCTGTTTAGCCATTTAGAGTTATTTCACATTCTTGTTTCTCTGATGAAACGCATTTCATATTGCATCTTTTTTTTTTTTTGTTTCTTTTTAAATTTTATTAAATATTTCAATATAATTGCATCCTGGTTTCCAGCCCATTCCAAGGCGTCACCTTTGACCATGCTTCAATATTTGAATATATTTAGTTTTTTTTTTTAGTTATTTTATACTAAAATAACATGACATATAGCTTGGTTTCAACAACCAGATGCATTTACACTTGTCCAGTTTCGTCTGGAATTTGAATCATGAGCGATCGGATTCAAATCCGTCTCGAATGTGTTTCGGAGGGCATTTACACCATGGTCTTTTCACGATCGAATAGCTATCCGATCACAGAAAACGCATGAAGTGACCAGGTGTAGGCTAAACATCCCCTTTGAATCCATCGTCTACTTTTGTGGAAAGCTGACTAGAGTTGTGTCGCTCGAGTTGTCTTCTCTGATACGGAGAACAGCGGCGAATAGCTAGACGAACCGGCCAGATATAGCCAGGCGAGCGTGAACGCGCATAACGTCACGCCCAGTCTCAGATTCGAGCCCGAATCCCTCTTATATATTTCACTGTACATGATTATAGAGGCGATCGCAGTGATCAAAAAAGGGCTCATTCAGCTCATCAGGCAATTGTTTAAGCATGTATGGGTTAGAAAACGGCTATTTTTAACATGAAATGTTGCGCAATACACCTTTAACTAGAGATGTTTATTTATTTGTATAATTTACATCCGTGCCATGAAAAGAGGTGAGGACAATATCGACCCAATATCGCTGAAAGTGGTGGGGACATCCCACCCGTCCAACCTGCAAATTACGCCTATGGAAATGGAACATGTAGAAATCTTGAATTGAGATGAATTAAATATATTTTGAACCACAGTAACTAGTCAGAATCAAATTGTAGATATCTCACACTGGAATTACAGATATCTACAATTCAGTTTCAGATATCTGTAATTCACACAGTGGATATCTCCAACCGAATTGTAGATATCTGTAATGATGAACCCCATAAAAATGAATGGCAAAAGTGATGTCATTTGTCCTAGGAAGAATGTCTTTGTGGAAATCCTAAATTACAGTTATGGATAGGAAGAATGTAGTTGTGGATATCTGAAATGTTCTTTTTGACTAGGCAAAACTGAATTACAGATATCTGCAACACATATCCAGTCTAGCTGTTAAATGTCAAAATGGCTTGCCATACATCACATGATTTCAGTGATTTACTAAACTTGTCAGAACCAAACCTGTAACGACAAGTTTAATTTTCGTGACATAGGCTGTGACGTAGGGCCTATAAGATGCATTTCACTGAAAACGAAAGGAATCTATTTCTGGGTTGGGAAAGAAAGTAGGCAATTCTGACGACTTGTTCAAGCTGTTTTCATTATTATTATTATTATTATTATTATTATTATTATTATTATGTGCAAGATCATTGCATTTTTTATTGCATTTGCATACTTAATATCATTTAAATTCTTTGAGTCCTTTTGGATGAATTTGGGTGCTTGGGGTAAAAACCTATATACTGTACGTTGCTCTTTTTAATATAGGCTAGTAGCATGCACATTTTACAATATATTAAAAATACATTTAAAGGACCTTTTCTTTCTATTCCATTATAACCGCATGCTTTAAAATGTTGGTTGAATGTTTTTCAGATCATTATGAGCACCATCACATCCAACTTGACCAAATGGCAGAAGAAAAAGCTCTGCTCCTTGCTCAGCCATTTCAGACTGTCCCTGCTGTTCAAAGCCAGTGTGCATGGCTACCATGTCAATACATTTCACCAAAAGTGTTATACTCAGGGGCCAACTGTTATTGTAGCTTACAATAAGTCCGGATATGTTTTTGGAGCTTTTACTAGCAAAAATTATGGTCAAACAGGCCAAAATGTTGTGGATGACAAAGCTTTTCTCTTCAGCTTTAATGACAAAGAGGTTAACGAAGCTCCTCTCCGTGTGTTCAGTGGAAATCCCCAGTATTCTTTCACTGACAATGGTCCGAACTTCGATTCTTTAAGGTTTCTGTACAATAACACTGCCACCGTCTACAGTAATCCAGGAACATACACATTCGATCCACAGAAGATGCATGGGAATGACTTACAGCTGACTGAATGCGAGGTGTACAGAGTTGAAGGTATTATTTCAGTTAATTGCACAGAAAATAGTGCACCTTCAGTAATGATTGTGTGAATAACTATGGTTTGGATTCTCACCAGACTGTGGAGGACTCTTGGAGAAACCATGGAGAAATGTGCAGTGGACCTCTGAGTGAGTGAAGCAAATTTAGTGTCTTCTTAAAAGTAATTTAGATAATAATTTGGTCTGTTGTTTTTGTTTTAAGATCAAGGTCTTTTACAAGGTCTTGGTCTTGTTCCTTAAGGAATTTGACAATGAAATTAATATTTGTAGGAGAAGGAAGGAGCTTTTGAGCATCATCTCAGGCTGGAAGCCTTTTGTTAGCTCGGTTAAACAGGCTCGTATTCTACTGGTGGGTCCTGTTGGTGCTGGGAAATCAAGCCTCTTCAACTCTATCAACTCTGTATTCAAGGGTTATGTGAGCAGCCAGGCCAACACTGGCACTGCTGGAACCAGTTTGACTACTCAGGTAGAAATGCACCTTGATTATTACACATCTGATATTTTACAGAGGGATATATTGCTATTGGTTATCTCTATACTGTATTTAAATGAATGGCTAAATATTTGTGCCTTGTAGTTCCGTACCTACCACATAAGGCCAGGCAGCGGTGTCAGCCATGTTCCCTTCTCTCTGTGTGACTCGATGGGTCTGGAGGAGGGTTTGAACAGCGGTCTGGCTGTAGATGATTTTGCCAGTATTTTGAAGGGTCACATTCAAGACAAGTATCAGGTGAGAACTTTTGGTAAAGGGTGTAAACATAATAGGTTAATAGGTTTAGATGATGTTTTACTGGCTAGTTAAAAGTAATATATAATATAAATAAAACATTTTATTCTTGATGATTTAAAAATTTTGACATATCTTTGGCTTAGTTGATTCCATCGATGCCTATACAGCCAGACTCCCCTCATTTCCACAAATCTCCTGGCTTGAAGGACAAGATTCACTGTGTGGTGTATGTGATAGACGCCAGCAAAGTCAAGATTCTCTCTGACAAAATGATCGAAAAGTTTGTGGTGTTTCGAAGGAAAACCAACCAGCTCGGTGAGTGACTGATAATGACACAGATTTTAATTAATTTTAAGTGACACGAGTGTATTTTGTCATTTAAACTATGTAAATTCAATTTACAGTCTGTCAGTCTTCTTTGATGTCACTTCTTCTGTACAATTAACACAAATGTTTACAAATGTAGTTCCGTACCTACCACATAAGGCGGTGTCAGCCATGTTCCCTTCTCTCTGTGTGACTCGATGGGTCTGGAGGAGGGTTTGAATAGCGGTCTGGCTGTAGATGATTTTGCCAGTATTTTGAAGGGTCACATTCAAGACAAGTATCAGGTGAGAACTTTTGGTGAAAGGTAAACATAATAGGTTAATAGGTGTGGCAGATGTTTTATTAGTATTTTTAGTCTCAGTCTCAATTTAATGATTTAAAGATATTCTACATGTTTCTTTTTCTTAGTTTAACCCATCGATGCCTATACAGCCAGACTCCCCTCATTTCCACAAATCTCCTGGCTTGAAGGACAAGATTCACTGTGTGGTATATGTGATAGACGCCAGCAAAGTCACGCTCCTCTCTGACAAAATGAATGACAAGTTTGCGGTTTTTCGAAAGAAAACCAACCAGCTCGGTGAGGGAATAATAATAATGAATTCTATTTCAATTTATTTCAAGTGACATGAGTTTATTTTGTCATTTATATAATAGAATATTCGATTTTCAGTCTCTCTCAAGATATTTTCTTAATGTCACTTCTTCTGTACAATTAAGACAAATGTTTAACTAGAGCTGCTTCACCCAGGTTAATGATCTCTGGGATTTTATAGCATTTCACCCTTTTGCATCAATTAAAAATAGTTGCACATTGAGATAGAGGACAAAAATGATAGATAGAGGACAAAAATGTCCATAAGGATGCACAAGGGTTAAGGTGTTGTTCTGTACTTCAGGTATTCCTCAGCTGGTTCTGCTCACTAAGGTGGATGAGGCCTGTCCGTTAGTGGCTGAAGACCTGAAAAATGTCTACCAGAGCCACTATATCAACAAAATGGTACTAATGAATATATTTGACTTAATAGTCAGTATTCTATACTGTTCTCTTTCACATCTTGTTCTTGAGTATTTCTGATGAACTGTTTTGTGACAGGTGCAGGAGGTGAGCGCTCAGCTTGGAGTTTCTATGTCTGCTGTGATTCCAGTGAAAAACTACTGCCAAGAACTGGAAATAGACCCTCAAACTGACATATTGCTTCTAAGCGCTGTTGTTCAGATACTCAGAGCCGCCGAGGGCTTTTTTGATGATTTTTACAATCCAGAGGAGAGGTCTGAGTAGAAGGTTCTGGATGTATATTAAAATTAGCTAATCGTACCTCTTTGTTTACAGAATTCATATTGTTTTAGGTGACAAATGCATCTTTGTTTGTGTAAGGTCTGTTGACATTTCTACCATTGCTCTTAACATGCAAACTATTGCTAATCCAAAACATGCCATCAGATGTCCAATATTCAAAGCTTTCTTCTCAGTTTGAGAGAAAAATGTGTAGTTTAAAATTGAAATAAAGGTCTCATGAAGTTTATTGGTTGTAGAAGATAATGAAAGAAATACATTCACATTGTACAATACCAACAATGACCCGTAAATGCGTTTGAAGGCAATTGTTTGTACATGATCTAACCCTTAAAATTTTATTTTGTTTATGTAACCTAATGTAGTTAGGTTAATTTAGTGAAATTAAGAAGCATAATATTTAGGTTAAGTTGCAAAACACTTTTTGCAGTGTATGCTTAAACTCACAGTACAAAATCTTCATACAGTCTTCATGTGAGATTGCCTTTAGAGCAACTGTTGTTGCAGTCAACTCATTGGGGCAGATATTTCTTCCTGTCACACATCCTTTTAAGAATCCTCTCATTCCCAATGTCCACAATCATACAGATCTATCCACCTTGTTTTGCGTTGCAGAAGTAAGCTAATTTCTGTGAATTTGTGAGACTTCTGGTTCATTAGCTATAGGTAAATAACTAGAAAAATAACCAAGTGCTACAAACCAGTGTGCAACAATACATTAGAATAATATGGAATAAGGAAAAGCAGTTTGCAATATCAGGCAGTATAACAAGCTGTTTTGTAGAGGCAGCTAAAAATAACTGGAAGACAATTTCTAGATGACACCAGAAGTCAGACACTAGCTTTTACTCTGTGGCTACTTGCGTATTAAATTAGTCTTAAAATTTAGTCATGTAATTGTTTTTTTTGTTTTTTTTGGTAATTGATCATAACTTTAAGTTAAACAGGTTAATTGATCTCTTTTGAATCTGAAAAGTAAATCTTTTTAGATTACCCCTTGACTAACTGTTGGTCAGACTAGTTCTTAGACTCAGTCTTAACATTGTGACTATGCAACTGGCCCTAAGGTCTGAGAGAATAGCCTTCTCATAATCTGCGAGACTCATTTTAGGAGTGCTCTCATGAAATATTTTTCTTCTCTAGTAGGCCTATGCTCCTCGTTTTCATACTTTGGCCGCTCTCCCTTCTCGCTGGGCCCAGGAGAGCCTTCTGGTGACCCAGCTGGAATGGGGGTTATTTGTTGGGCTCCAGGCAGAATCTGATTGAGAGGAGTTCTGATGGCTGCTGGCAGCTGTCCTGAAAGAGCCCAGAGTTTTTCTGAGCCATGTGTTCTTAGCAGCCTGAAGTTCAGTCGTCACAACTGCGTTTTGGTGCTCCAACTCCTTGGGAAATCAAGATGATAAATACATAATGAAAAAGAGTAACAATTTTAACATAAAAGTATGCATTTAAAATCATTAACATGACACTAACATTATTTTGACGAGTTAAAGCAATGTAAAAACATGGAATTTTACACCTAATGTTATTTTTATTCATCTATTTTATTTTACTATGGAGCGCAAATTACTATAGACTTGATTTGAATTATGTTTTCAATTCAAAACATTTAATTGAAACATTTAATTACAACTCCATATATTCAATAAAGTGAAGATATATCGAAATCGTCTTCCATTGCGATTTCCCGTAAATATGTTTAGTGAAAGGTAAAACTTCCGAAATCTCCGTGTAAACAAGGTAAACAATGCGTGACATAAACGCGCCAGAGATCACTTCCGGCGTAACTTTGAAGACGGTTCAGTTCGGTTCAGTTGAGATTCAGATCAGTTCGACGGCTGTTAACAAGAGGTAAAAAGAAAAATTATATAAATACTGTTCGTTTTCTCACACAAACCGCTCAGGCTATTAAATCATGTTTCATTTGGACTTCTCTGTGCATGCTATTTTAGGAGATCCCCATAGACCTGCATGACTGACAGACAACAAGGGGTTGACCAAAAAATGTCAAAATTGAAAATGCTGTGGAAACAAAGACACCTACAACTTGGATGCCCTTGAGGTAAGCTAAAACATATCAAAAATTACTTTCAAAGTGAACTATCCATTTAAATGAACGTAAAGAATTGTGCGAGAATAAGACGCGTGTGACTGTTTCAATTTTGGTACATTGTAATGTATGTTAGACAGGTAGGAAGGGCACAGGGTAAATAATATTCTTTATGTGACGATTGTTTGAAGTTTACCTAAATAAAAGTTGTTATATTTTTGAAGCCCTATAAATGTAAAAAATAAATAAAAATAAATGATAGCTTTAAATTACACTGACTGTAATGTTAAATGGCTAATTAACGTATACAATTGGGGAGGGAAAATCATTTTCATCCAGACATCAGTAGCTGATTAGTATCAGTGATGCTGACTTTCATTTATAAAAAGATACCAAATACAATGTTTCAAAATATACTGCCTTTATGTTGTCTCTACATTAATTTGGAGATTAACTATGTAATTATTACATTATAAAATATATACAAATTTTAAGTGTTTTTAATTGCGATTAATCACAGAAAAATCTAGTTATTTTTTTAAATCAATTGACCACAAAGAAAAATATATTTTAAAAATCTTCTGAAAAAAAAAAAAAGTTCCAAGTCACATGCTTTTTTATTAGATTTTTATGTCTTACTTGTATCGTGCATTTGGACTCCACCATTTGTAGCTTGGTCTGCGCTAGCTCTCTCTCTAACTCTTGGACCTGTTCTCTGAGAGAGGCCATCACTTCCTCCTGAGCAGAGCTATCTTCACTCTCAGAGCACAGCTGAATTGATCCATCCATACTAAAGATATGTCTGCACCGCTCACACTCCAGCATCTTACTCTGAAATAATAAATATAGCGTATGTGAGTAAATGGGCTGTTTAAGGAGAAACAGTATACTAAGACTGACGGTGAAGGTTCAGCTGCTCTGAGGTCAGTTTGTTTCTTACCTTGATAACTGCCATCTCTTTGTCTGCTTGAGCTTTCTGGTTTTCAAGATTAGTGTTCAGTTGGGAGCAAATCTAAAGGATGCAAGAAAATGGGCTGAAAGTTGGCATCGAATGCAATATTGTTTATTGAATATGTGGAGTTGTAATTGAAAGTTTACCTGCTTGTAGTCGGCGATGATGTTGTTTGATCTCTTAATGTCTGACTCTGCTTTGTCCAGCTCTCTCCTAAACATCTTTTTTAGCTGTCGAACACATCAATGCATTAGACAAGGGCAAAGCATGAGCTCTCTTTCACAGAGATTGTTCAAACACTTTACTCCTCGGATCAGTGATGTTAAAAAGCACCTGTGAAGTCTCCTCCTCCTTTCCCCTTTTCTCTTCCTCTGTAATCCTCAGAAGCTGTTTGGTTTTTAACAGCTCCTTGGTTAATTCATCCACCTGGTCCTCGGTCTGAAAGACACACCAGATCTATCTTGCTCAGCAAAATAAAACAGAAAATGAAACCAGCCTGTTGCATATGATATGCATGATGACTCGTAATAATTTGAAAGACCTGATCTAAAGCAGTCCTCAGAGCAATCTTGCTGGTGACAAGTTTTTGTGCAAGATCATCGTTTTCCTGCTCCAGACGCAAACTGGTTTCCTGAAGCATACGGTTTTCTCTCTAGAAAAAAGAAAAAGAAAAGCATTAATACCACAAATCTACAACTGTGAAGTAATCAATGCATGATGCAAGAGCTGTTGTTTTAGATATGGGTGTTGCAGAGCAGGACGGAAGCTTTTTTTGTTTTTGTGAGGGTGTGATCACTTACCTCGTACCTGTCGAGTGGGTCTTCTGGCTGCAAAAGGTTATCTCTTAACTTTGGCTTTTTAGATGGAACCTGTTTAGAAAGAAGATTCAAATAAATTTCAAATCACATCAGATAGCCAATGCAAATCTAAAAGGCATGAAAGGAATGTGCTTTAACAACAAGTACTGCTTATATAATATTCGTAGTTGCAATTTTATCGATATTTAAAAAAAAACTAATTTATGTATTTAATTCATATAAATAAATTCAATATCAGGTGCAAAAAATCTTAAAGGCATGAAAGGAATGTGCAGTAACATTTTAAGTACTTATGTTAAGTGCATAGTTACAGGATTCATAGCATCTTTACACTTGCAATTTTATAATGACATTTTTTTATTAATTTACATTTTATATATATATATATATATATATATACATACATTTATTTATATAGCACTTTTCATACATGGAATGCAACACAAAGTGCTTTACAAACATGACAACAAGTTCACACAATGTGAATATCAAAGAAAAAATATTATAATATTTATATTCGTGATAACCAAGGAGTAAACATTTTAACAATAATTGATCACAAACACACTAATATTTTTTTAAAAGAGATTTGAAAAAACTTGAATAACCATACTGTTGTGCTACTCCAGCATGCCAGCTTTATGTCAACATGTGACAAACGTGAGGTCCAAAGTTGCTGAACTTACCACTTGTTTCGGTAGAGACTCCACCACTAGACTGGCCAGGATCTCCTCCTCTGACATTTGGTCAACAATATAGGCATCATAAGCCACAGCAATAGACACTTCTTCCATCATTTTGGCAGGTGAATAGAACACGAGTGATCTCAAAATATGGAGTAGGCCACTGAACCTTTCTGGAGAAATGACAACAGGTTTGACAGGCAACAACGGTCTATATCTGTCTTGTCTCAATGCAAGCCCAACCCAGACATGGGAGGAGTTTCATTTCAGTCCACCTTTGTCCTGTGGTTCTTCACTTACCTAATAAGCAGGTATCAAAACACTATGGCCTTCCAACAATAATACTAATTATTAATACTAATTATTTCCTCATTGCTAAATCAGAACCCAGTTAACTATCATTCAAATTATGAATCCAACAAAATTAGGTTCCAGAACAGAAGATCTTTTACCGTCACAGTTTAGAGTTTGCAAGCCTGCCTGTGGCTTCAAGCACAGGGCTAAAGACTGTGAAATTGAAATTCTTGCTGTAATCCTGGAGGTCGCCCCTCACACAAAAACACTGTGGGACTAGCAGGTGCCAGTACATTCCTCCATTCCTTAAGCTGCTTATATCTGGCTGCTGTATATGTTCATTGGGATTGATGGAGGCTTGGAACTGCTGTTTTTATCATCTCATTGCAGCTTCAGGGAGGCATCATACAGATATTGTTAATCGAAATGGTCAAAAGCAGTAGTTTCTTATAAAACCACCTTTGCTTCTTAGTATGTTATGCAGAGCTAATCTGTTGTGGTCATCAGCTTGAACAAAGCCGAGCTAATAAGCCGAAAAATAAGAAGGAGCGAGAAAGAGAAGGGGAATGTGAACAAAAGTGGGGGAGAATGTTATTAGTAATTGAAAGAAGGGAGGAGAAAAGAGAAATAAAGGCAAACAGTAAAGTGTGACAGTGTTCAAAGGTTCTTGTATTGGAGGAGGTGCCAGCCAGTTTTCAGGTATCGTCATGAACCTGCGAAACAAACAAACGCACAACTGTCTCCAACTGTGAGGTGGGAGTGGCATTTGCTAAGTGTGCTGCTTATTATGGTTGAAAAATCATAGTCAGTGGAAAGCTTTATCATTCTGAGAGTGAAATTCTTTTACAGTTGCTGAACTGCTATGGAAATGAGATGCATGTAACAGCTTTGCTTAACAAGATCTTAAACTGGTCCTTCAAGTCGTTTAACACAATCACAATGCACAGGTAGAATGCAGTCCCAGCCCTGCTTGACACTCCTGGTTAAGTTTTTTCAGTGCTTTTAAATGTCAAAGTGAAAGATGTAGCAAAGAGAAAATGGTAAGATTAGTGGATTCTGATTTTGTCATAATTACACAAATGTGTGTTTACTTAAGCAGTGATTTTGTACACTACCGATCAGATGTCTGGTGGTGTTGTGTTTTTTTTTTTTTTTATGGATGCATTAAATTGATCAAAAGTGACAGTTAACATGGTTACAAAAAGTTATATTTCAAATAGGTTATATTTTCAACTTTTATTCATCAAAGAACCCTATCTTGGCATTGCTAACACCATGCGCTACAGTTTGAGCTACACTTCTCAACATTAATAAGAAATGTTTCTTATTGCATAATGCATCAAATAAGTATATTACAATGATTTCTGATGGATCATGTGACACTGAAGCCTGAAGTAATGGTGCTGAAAATTCAGCTGTGCAATCACATATTTCATATTTTAAATATATTGAAATAGAAATACATTTTAATATTATTTGTTGTGTTTTTGATCATTTAAATGTGGCTTTGGTGAACAAGAGACTTCAAAAGCATTGAAAATCGTGTTTAAATTTGTAACTTTTGAACTTTTTAACCCTCTTAAATTTGTATTAATTCTATCCTTTAAACTAAAATTAAATTGTTTTAATTGAAAGGCTATACAATTGTTTATAGTGTTTCGGAATTATTTTACTGTTTAAATGTATCTGTGAAGCAGTTTCCATTTTAAAAACATCACATGACCTGCGTCTGGGGCACGTTGTCACAAAAGTGGAAATGATCAATTAGCTTTTTTAGGAGTAAAATGTTTGATAACCAGTCTCTTTCATAGTTTCCCACTGCTAGAATATAGCAACATGAATAGGAATATGGAAGAAAAACACAATTAAAGCAAACAGAAGCATTGGCAGTTAGTTCGAATAGAGAGACTTGACAGGAAACTTTTCAATCATTGAAATATTATGATCTTTATGTACATGTATTTTATAGATGTGAAATGGCTTTTATTACTCTGATCACAACTGACCAATTTTATAAAAGTCTACAGGCATTTATAAATGCTTACTTCATATTTAAAAGCATTCTGTGAAATATGTGCACAATCAGCTACTTTTTTCCTTCAGTATTTTAAACCATAGACTGATGTTTACTTCCAGACCCCCCCCCCCCCCATTTCTGCCAAAAACGTATCCACATGTAAAATAGAAGTGCCTTCTTGTGATTTGTAATGTGATCCAGTTAACAAAGAGTGACAGTGAATATCGACATCAGAATGCACAAACCAATGGGACTGAAACAAGTATGTGAGAAAATATAATAATTTACATAAACACTTTTGCAAAGACAAGGAAACTATTGTTCATATAATTATCATTTCAATAAGAACAATGAAATGTTTTTTTTATATATATATATTTTTCAGACATTTTCTCAGTGACTTTGCCTTAAGAAGATTTTTGAAAATGTTGTGTATAAATCTGAAAATTATATGGCATTGGAGATATCAGCAGCTACACTGAAATGTTAATTTAAAAAGCTCTTAGTTTTAAAAAGTAGTGGATATGGACAAATAAATAAGTGAGAGTGAACAACACATGACTCCAACCTCAATCTTATTTGATTTTCAAAACTGCCAACATATTTCACTGTGTGCCACTGTGAATTTTAGTTGATGTGACATATTTAAATACAAATTAACCAATATATCAGTAATTCATTTTACATTTTCCCAACACATCTTCATAGATTAAGACAATTACATTTTTTTGGTTAATTTCTCATCCAAAAATAAGTGTTTAAAATAAAAAGATTCAGCATATCAGGGGCTATTTAGATAAAGCTGAATGTAATGCTTTTTCCAACAAAAGTAATTTATTTTAAAAGCTATTAAAAACTTTTGTCACCATAAACTATGAAATACTTAAGATGAGCCTTTAAAGCTTTCTTGGGATGCTCCATTTCTTTTTTCTTAATTTACAATATCCTTCTATATCTGACTTTTCCATGATAAATAAAATATCCTATTTGCATTTAACCTTTGACATTAAAAAGGCCAAAACCCCCACAAACACTTCAGTCAACACACAGCCCTCACAGCAGAGAGAGAGAGGGAGTGGTGTGCAAGAAGAAGAAGAGGTAAAACGGGTAAAACAAAAGACAATGGAAGACTGAAGATGGCCTTAGGCCTGTGTGGAAGAATAACGTGGCAGAATAACGTGGCATCCTGTAGGTCTTTCGACTCTTTGCGCAAGGAGATGGCACGGCCCCCAGATGCTCTGGTTCACAGAGACAGCTCTGTCCCTGGGTCCATCTCTGGGTCTGTGAGGGTCAGACGTCAGTGCTGATGGCTCGTGTATTGGTGTAAAAGTCTGGTGTACTGCGGTGGCTCAGCACGGGGCCGTACATGGCGGCCAAACCGAGGGCAGTGGCGCCATGGTTCTCATAGTGAGCGGGCATGTAGGACAGCCGTTCGCCGCCATTACGCATCTCATCCGAGCCACGGAGGTAGTAGGGCGAGCAAGTGGGGCAGTAGCTCTGCTGCGGAGCGGGGTCGTAGGGCAGCGAGAGAGGTGTGACGGCCGCCCCGTCCACTCCCGGAGCGCTGCATGCGTTGCAGGCGAACTGTGGCTGAGGATCTCCGACCGAGCCCGCCTCCCCTTCTGACTCATTCCTCTTACAGCAGTAATACTGGGATGGAGGGACATTTAGATATACAAGGGAAACAAGATCAGGAATTGATGCTTCAACACAGATCTTCCTCAAATTGTTGAGTAACACGCTGAGTGTGCTTGAGCACAAAACAGAAAAGTTCTGGAATGGATTTGAGTTATTTACGTAATAGTGCTGTGCAGTCTTAATGTCATTTAGGTCAACAAGTAAGGCTGAAACAAAATTCAAAATACTTTTCTATGGGTTTTTGATTATGAGTAAAATAAGGTCTGTGGTCAGCACTATTTGAGACTTTAAATTAGTCACGCCTCAATAGTGAATTTTGCAAACATATGAATTGTGTCCGAAATTGCACACTCTCTTGAGTAGGTACTTATTTCGAATAAGTAATTACTTCACAACCGCTAAAAAAAGTATGTTCTAAATAGTTTGAATGTGTGTAGTATGAATGTAATTCGGATCAGCATCAGTTCATAAATCCTCTCCCGTGGCCTCATGGGATAGTAAAGTGTCCATCGTATGCACATTTCAGAATTTTGCTGGAAGTAGCCTGACTTCGTCATACTCATATTCTGGTCAGAATATGAGTCTGAGACCGCTCCGTAGGGCTTTGATTATGAGGCGTGTCTTAACCGAACCAGGAAAAAATGACTACGTGCTTTTCATTACATCCCATCTTCTTAACTTACCGACCGTCAGAGCCAGCTGATAAGTTACACTTTTGCCGAATATCTTTCCGATCGAAAAATGCTTGATTGTTGTTTTCTGTTTGTCTATTAACATTAATGCGCTGTCGATTAATTTTAAAAACAGACGCGACAGCGGAATCTGTACATCTCAATTCTCCAGCTGCAGTCATCTTTGAGGGAAACCAGTTAAGCGCTCTTTGATAACGTGATGATTACGTCCCTGCAGATCATCTGTCCATCATCGTATAAAGCCCGCCCTGGCAATTTGATTGGCCTGATCATTTTTTGCCTGATCATAATTACTCCCCAATGGATCGAGTCCAGACCGAACTTCCCGACCAAAAAATGTTGTGGGCAGAGTTCGGGCTGGCATCCAGGCTAGGAAGTAGTAGCTCATCCGGGTAATTTTGCCTACTCTTTTATGAGTACTCAGAACTAGGACATACTTGTTTTGTCACGTATGCTACTGTTTATCACCTACTGTATAGTAGGGAAGTATGAGATTACTTATCTAAAAATTATTCTTACACAACTTATTCGTTGATTTTCTCATTTTAGTAGTAGTTTGCTGATTATTTACTCAGCCCCATGTCATCCAAGATTTCCACGTCTTTCTTTCTTCAGTCGAAAAGAAATTAAGGTTTTTGATGAAAACATTCCAGGATTTTTCTCATTTTTCTCATTTGGTTCATTCAACAAACGAAACGAACGAATTGACTCGGAAAAAGATTCGTTCATTTTGATGAACAAGTTCGAACAGGAGAGTCACAAACGTGCATCACAGAACAGAGCAAGGCGAGCATTTGAGCTTATAAAACTTAAACTTTGTTATTTATTTATTAAATGAGCGATCGTTTCGCTTGATAAGACCCTTATTCATTGTCTGGAATCGTTTAAAGCCCTTTGAACAGTTTGCAGTTTGTACTGAAAGTGTCTTTTGGACCTTGAACCGTTTGGTTCCCACTGTAGTGCGTTATATGGTGAAAAATGCTGGAATGTTTTCATCAAAAAAATTAATTTCTTTTGGAATGAAGAAAGAATGACATGGACATCTTGGATGACATGGGGGTGAGTAAATATCAGCAAATTTTTTTTCAAAAGTGAACTACTCCTTTAAATTGTGGCTATGTTGAATTATTTAGTTCTCTAATTTTTTTACTGGTCTCAAATCAATTGAACTAAAACTACTGAACAAATTGGTATAATGTGAAAAACGGATTAGCACAGCGTAGCCATGATTTACCTAAAATGCGGAAAAGAAATGACAATACTAAAACAAACCAATACTAAATTTGTAGCCACTTTTTTTGCAGTCACTAAATTTGCAGCCGTTGTTTTTGAGCGTTGTTCTCGGGTTTCTTGTGTCCCGCTCATCATTCCAAAAGAAGTTCAATTAAAAACAAAAATCATTATTCGTTTTCCCCCATTACACTGTCTTGCATCTTGTGTTTTAAACACAAAAACGCAATGTGTGTGAATGGTTCCGTATCACTTACAGCATTCTGCAGTAAAATGTAAATGAAATGCAATGCTCACCTGGAGTCTACAGTAACAAAGCACTGCAATGATACATAGGAGTATCACTGTTGCGAGAATTCCTCCGGTTATGACAACAGTTCCAGCTGTCATCCGACCAGATCTCCATCAAACCCTGAGAGAGAGTCAATTGTCTTACTGAAACTTCATTTCCATATGTAAAAACAGACTGAAACTGAGTTGTTAGTCCGTTTACAACTCCAAAACAAAGTTGAACTTTTGTAACAATTTTACCTAAATAACATTCAAAGGGCCCTGATTTATGTGTTAAAGCATGTGGAAGGGATTAAGTCACTAAATCACTTACATTAGAAGAGAGCAGAGGGGACGACAGACCACAGAGAGTTTGTATTGCTGCTTCTCCTGACGCAATGCTCATTGGTTGCAGACGTTCACCAGTAGAGTTTCTGGATATCACAAAAGAAGTGGAACGTGTGATATGTAAAAACAGATTAGTTAAAAACTTCTATTTCAGCAATAGGATAATAGCCACAATAACCATTCCAGCCAAAAGGAGGCAGTATAACACAGGACATCACCACAGCACAGTATGTGTTCACAAAGGATCTTTTTTGCTTGCAGATTAAAAAAAACAAACTAGTCAAATAATCAATGTCACCTTAAAGGGTTAGTTCACCTAAAAATAATCTTATAATTTACTTAACCTCAAGCCATTATACTGTAAGTGAATATGACTTTCTTCTTTCAGCCAAACACAATTGGAGTTATATTAAAAAAAATTCTGGCTCTTCAAGCTTTATAATGGGAGTGAATGGTACCATAGATTTTGAAGCAAGAAAAAGCGCATCCATCCATCATAAAAGTAATCCATATGTCTCCAGAGGGTTAATAAAGTCCTTCTGAAGTGAATCAATGCGTTTTTGTAAGAAAATATTCATAATTGTAACTTTATAAATTGACGAGAGCAAAGAGCAAAACAAAACACTGGTTAGGAATTAGAAGTATAAAAATGAAAAATGCGTTCGGCTGAAAGAAGAAAGTCATATACACCTAGGATGGCTTGAGGTTGAACTAACCCTTTAACTACAGAACCCAGATTCAATGATAGGATGTTCTCAAACCCATCACATACTCCTCCAGTCCATTTTTTTTTTCTCAGAGTAAAAGCACTAAATTATATACAGGAATGGTGGAATGCTAATGCTGTTAAAAGCAATGTGCCATCTATTCTCCCTGGAATGTGTCCAAGCAGCGTGTTCTTGTCCCCTGCGCTCCTTGCCAGCGGTTAAACTGGAGGAAAGTACTGATCTGGGTTCTTGTGGTGGGCTTCTGGAGGTCATGATTGGGGCACTGATAAGACATGTTTGGACAATCACATACCCTGATGGGCTAGACAAGGTCGCTGTAAGTACACCGAGAACACTTTGAATAACAAGGATAGGTGGGGACTAGAGAGCGCTTGTGTTTATCCAAGTATTTTCTTGTGCTAATTTGTGGTGACTGTGAAAATTGATTTCAAAGTAATGCCATTTCTGCACACAATACCAAAATCCAAAATCCGTTCAATTGGTGACCATCTTGGCAATGCAGCTAATTTCTACTGTCTACTAGAATAGGGAAAGGCAATGTTTGGAAAGAAAATGAAAGGAAAATGTTTATTTTATTTTTTTTTGTAAATGTTCGCTAAGCTTACACACTGCATGTATGGGCCAAAAAAAAAAAAAAAAAGCAGAGCGAGTAGATATTGAAGCTTGTGTTCGCCACTGAATAAAAAATAAAAAGAGTATACGACTTTTTAATCTGACAATTCTGTCTTTTTTTACAACACAATTATGAGTTACATCTAGCAATTCTGACTTATTTTTTCTTAAATTAGCATGATATAAACTCGCACTTTTAAGTTTAACAATTATAAGAAAATGTCAGAATTGTGAGCTGCCCCCCCCCCCCTTCTGGATTTCGTAACTCATAATTGCGAGTTTATTTCACTGAAGTCCTGAAAATGAACTCATAACTTCGAGGAAAAAAATGTCAGAATTGTGAGCAATGCTTTAAATTGGTCCTCATGTCCCTCCCTGGAGAGATTTTTTTTTTTTTTTGTAAATGGAGTCAATTATTCATAGCAAAAAGTAAAAGACACCACAAAACGCAATGAACACTGAATACTCATACCATACCTTTTGTTTGGTGGTTTATATTTTGGTGTTCTTAAGGTTAATGAAAACTCAATAAAAAACAGACCTGTCAATGCTGATGATGGCTTCCCTCATCCCACAAACATTAACAAGGCGCACATAGTATACATTGCAAGAAATTGTTTGTATATTTCAATGTGCCCATTCATGAAACACGTATTCATGCATACTAATATTAGATGATCCCATGTAGGTGTATGTGTATTATGGCATGTGAGGAGAAGCAGACGGAGATGTGGTGCAAGAGGAAGTGTGACCCGGTGCAGACCTTGTCAGCATGCTCATTTATCACCTGGCTCACTCTATTACACCAATGAGTCTGCAGATCAATACACAGATGCTCGTATATCTCCGTTGCCATGGCACCCAAAGCTGCTGACCCACTTCTCCCCAAATACCCCAGCACCCCTTTCCTTCGCCCATTCTCTTTTTGCTTTCCTTTTTATTGTCTTTTCCCCTCCATTTACCAGTATATTCAGTGCGTCACCAGTATCAGCCATCTTTACACTGTGAAGGCAGCACAGGAACCACATCTGAAACGGATTGGATCGATTCCTTTCCTCTTCCTGTCCGTTTTTAGGAGAAAAATCTGATCTATTGGAGACGTCCAATAGATTTCTTAGGCACGCCGAAAGACAGCAGTACAATCAACATGGGAAAATCTCATACTACAACAATCAGCTGTGAAAAATTCTTCTCATCTTTAGATCTCTATTAATTCATTTTTCCCTTGCTTTAATTTAGAAAAATCCCAGAAATAACGGTTTGGTCCTATTCATGGTTAGTAAAATGGGTGGGGTCCCTTTAACCCCAGTAAGTGATTATTTAAATTCATTTATGTGTAAAACACTTTGAATTACAAAATGTGCTATATAAATAAACGTGCCTTGCCTTGAAACAGAGTATATACACTGACCTAAAGGATTATTAGGAACACCAAACTAATACTGTGTTTGACCCCCTTTTGCCTTCAGAACTTCCTTAATTCTACATGGCATTGATTCAACAAGGTACTGAAAGAATTCTTTAGAAATGTTGGCCCATATGGATAGCATCTTGCAGTTGATGGAGATTTGTGGGATGCACATCCAGGGCACGAAGCTCCCGTTCCACCACATCCCAAAGATGCTCTATTGGGTTGAGATCTGGTGACTGTGGGCGCCATTTTAGTACAGTGAACTCAACTGAAATTGAGACTCGTCAGACCAGGCTGTCTGATCTGGGGTCTTCTGCTGTTGTAGCCCATCCGCCTCAAGGTTGTGCGTGTTGTGGCTTCACAAATGCTTTGCTGCATAGCTCGGGTGTAACGAGAATCAGTCAAAGTAAATCACCTTTCTTTCCCATTCTGACATTCAGTTTAGAGTTCAGGAGATTGTCTTGACCAGGACCACACCCCTAAATGCACCCCTTACGTCTCAAGAGCCTTTTACCAACTATATTTTTAAATATATGAAGAGATAGATTCCATTTATGTTTATCAAATGTCTGTGAAATTTGTTGAGTTCATGTCTCAGTTGTTGAAATGTTTTATATCTATCTCTTCACCTGCTCACTTCATCTCACCTGCTCAAGTTTCCTGGCTACTTTCTCTTTTTCTCCTTGCCTCAAAAATATGACTACTCTCTCTTCTTTTAGGCCGTGTGTCCACCAAAGCGTTTTTATCCAGCTGAAAACACTAGACGCTCTGCTGAAGACGCCGTGCTTTGGGCGCTTGAGAGCGCTTTGGCAGCGCAGCGGTTTTTCTGTTGAGACGTTTCGTTGCTATGATACAGAATATATGCAGCAGTTTGAATGTTGTGACAGTTGGTTGGTGTGGTTTGGTCCCGCCCCTCCTCCACTGTGATTGGACGGCTGGGTAAAATGTGACAGTGATGAGCGCTGCGTTTTATCCAAAGTTGAAAATTTTTCAACTCCCAGCGACCAGTAAAAACGCTGAAAAAGAACGCTCTGCGCCTCGGTACGCTCACGGCGTTTAAAAAACGCGGCGCTCCCATTGAAAACAATTGAAAACATACGCCAGGCGCGTGGAAAAACGCTTTGGTGGACACGGCCTTAGCTTCCCCTCTGCTTATAATGCCACTTCCCCTCAGTGCTCTGCAGTTTTGAGCAAGTTAATCTGGAAATGTCATTAAATTACTGATAACTCTTTTTAAAAGTAATGAAGTCACTGTTCTGATTACTTATTTTAAAAGTAATTAGTTGCATTAGCAGTTACGTTACGTTTTTCGCAGTTGAAGAGGTTTCTTCCCCCCACATAATTGACAGCACACACTAATGTTCTTACCGTTGACAGAAATAAACTCAACTCAACTTTCTCTCTCCATGCCAATGTTTTCGTTGGTTTACCCAATGCGCAAACACTTAGTCAAAGTAGGTCTCGGTAGATGACGTTGCGGACTCGACAGGCAGGCATCTGAAAAGTTTTTTCTCTTTTTACAATCTCTAGATGATAATACACCGCATTCTGTCGACAGCGATATAACACAGCTGTAACAAATAGTAACTTTGGGCTTGGAACTATACTCTAATTACTATTTTGACAATTGTAAAGCATACATTACTCGTTACATTACTCATTTAGTAAATACGTTACTAAAAAATAAATCAAATTACACCAATGCGTTACTGCCCAACATTGGTGCCCTGCTAGTGTTTGCTGTCTGTCATTCCCATCTTTGATCCAGAACAGTTATAGACTTTTTATCTGGCAGCTCTATCTGACCTCTTATCTGTCTGACTGCACCAGGGCCCATATAGCTGTGGGGGTTCCACATGTTTATGACACAAATATGTCTGTAATGTTAAAAGCAAAATCAAATCAAATTAAAGATGACAGGTCAACAACATTGAACTTCATTTAGTATACTGTAAAGAAGTTGCATTAACGTCTCCAAACGAAAGGCTGTCATGTAACTAGATGTAAGCAAAAGAACATTTTAATGAATACTCAGTCGAAAGCTGCTGTTTTTTACTGGTTTTTACGGTTTTAAGAAAAGCAAATGATAAACACATAAGCTAGTTTGAATAGACACTATAAACACAAAGAACATTAATAAGATTTATAATAATACGATTTTTATTAAGATTAGCAGTAGAATGCAAACCCTGCTTATAAAGACAACACTGCATTCTAACTCATACTGCAATACATTTGGTTTAAAACTTGCTTCACGTCTGTTAAAAGTATGTTCTGTATAGTATGAATGCAATTCAGAAGTATTCCATCCGGCATGTTGTCACTGTCAGTGATC